TAATGTAGATAATACCGTGGTCTCCTGATATGTATAGTAATTAAAATATCTCAAAAAGCACGTGAGAGGCTCCTTCTAAGGATAGAGGGAAATAAAACGTCACACGTAAGTAATGTCACTTATTCCTGGTGCTTAGTGCTGTTGTAATACAACGAGTTAGGCTTGACATATATTATACGCGTTAGGAACAACACTTTCAGCTATGGGGACGTTAGAACTGTGACAGCCATTTCGTTAAGGGTAACCACGTATGCGGCAGGTGCTGATAACTGGTAGCTTTCCTTCTGGTCAATAGTTCTAAATTAGGGATGGCTATGCTTGAACACAAACAGACATTTTACCTGGCAGTTTAACCCAAGGTCTAGCATAAGGTTCGTTTCGGGTTAAAAAAATATAAATAAAACGCCAAAAATTGTCCTATGTATCCTTGTTTTTCCCTAAAGCATGCAGTAATGAAATATGCTCGATTGTAACAAGATTTATCACCAGGTGTTGCCCTCGTTGTTAGAGTTTTCTGTTATTTGAATAAGCTGCAAAAATTAAAAGGCATTCAAAGCTAGAAATAAACTTAAAGAGAATATAGTGGTTTGGGCTAATTCAGGTTATAAATACATATACTTATATAAGTAAAGGTTATAAGCTCGATGTTACGTCGGTCATTACGTTACGATGCATTTCCGTTTTTTTATTTTGCGTAAAATAACAACAAATAAAAATTTGGAAACTGAGACTCCCTAATTTCTTTTTTCGAAACATTATACAAACTGCCACTGTTTACTTGTAGTCTAAATTACATACAGTAATTGCGGACATAGAAATATACTTTGACAGATGGATAAATACTGCATGACCAAATAGTGCGGTTAATTAGCTTCGCGATTGTTTTTATAAAGTTTAAAAAATTTCTGTGATTCATAGAGCGTAGCTCCCGTTCTTGCCCCTGATCTGGCAGCTATCGATCACTCGCTCGTGAGCTGGGAAAGAACACAGCAATTCCAGGAGAAAGTAATGCCACACCACGTGGTTGATGCTTTGCTATGTTCATTAAGCCTTGTAAACATACGATACTATATTTTTCTGTGATGCCCAAATGAATATTCTTGCACATTTCCCTAATCCTTTGGTAAACTATTGAGATTGTGAGTGTTCGTTAACCGGTGCTATTGGTCAATTAAAAAAATAATATATAGATATTTAAAATTTCAAGCTCGAGTTTCTCAACGCCATCTGTTGAAAAGTTATTATACTTTCAAAAAAATAAATATTTATACCTAAAAACAAGCAGAAACTAAAGATCTTTGATTGTGTTTTTAACTGAGTTATTATTTCTACATTTAATAGTAACCAAAAAGAGAATTAACTCCAGTCTGTGTTCATATAAATCCTATTACTTATATATATATGTATATATATAGTACCTTGTATAGACTCTATAAAAGCATATATCATACTGTGTTAAGGGCATTTGAAATGGAATATAATATACTGTTGTGAGGGCTTTAACTAATAATATGTTAAAGACTGGAAATGATCACTCACTTTTACATATCAAATATAGTATACCAACCCGAGGGCCTTAAATAATAAGATATAACATAATATTTTGAGATCTAGAAACGATATATAGTATACAGGTTGAGGCCCTTCAAATCATGTATAGTATAGTATTATGGGGCTCTATAAATTATATATATATAGTATTGTTACGACACCGGAAGTCGCGTGACGCTGGGGGCATGCGCGCTGGAGTTTCTGCAATGATCATGAATTATCGGGAAGGCTCGAGTTTGTTCGAGGCGCCTTCTTTTTTAGTATATAAGTCCGGCGAGTAAAATCAGCGCGATGGCATAGATTGAAGAGATAGATAATTGAGTCAAGCTAATAGTAGGCACCATAAGTAAAGTGTGTGAATCACTGTGATTTATAGCGTGTGTTATAAAGGTTGTTAAGTGACTGTGGAAATTCTGTGTACTAAAAAATTGTATCAAGAAAGAATAAACTATTTTTAGTTAAGAAAGGACTTGTATCGCTGAAGTCCCTCGGAAAGAATTTATACCGGAAATTAACAAACAAGCAGATATGTAACAGTATACTGTTCCGAGGCCCTGTAAATTAAAGTTATTCATAGTAAATTGTTTATTATACTTTTATCTAAAAGCTCCAGTTTTGGTTAAAACGGTCGATTAACTGTGAATCAACTCTCAAATTGGATCGTGCAACTAGAGCAGTTATTTCAAAATTTTGTAATGCTGTTTCAAAGTTTATAGTGTATTTCATAAGTAAAACGACTTATTGATTCTTATGATCTACGTATCGGGCAGCAAATTACGTATCAGTTTAAGAAGACGAAACAGATCAGCCAAATAATAGTTCTTATTGCTTTTGTCTTTTGAATTCTCAAACCAGGTCTTGTCTATTGTAACACTTGTTTCCACAGTCACATACACAAGCCTTTTCAGCCTGGTGCCGGTACTATTGTTCACAATATCTCTGTCATCCTTTGGTCATGGGTTGTTTCCACTTTGTAAATAATCCATGAGCTAGGGCCAGTGTTCTCTCCATATTTTAAATTTATTTGCCCCCTTAAAATCCTCCCCTCGAGTGGAAAACCTGGCTACGCCACTGCATTATACTTCTAGTGACCTTCTGACTAGGCCTAAATAAGGTTGAACAAGGCCTAAATAGGTAGATAGAAGACCCCTTTTTGTTAATAAACAAAAGTTTGGGCATTTTGTTAATCTTTGCCCTTAAACACAGATTTCTCCTGGTAGAGATTCAAACAGACAAAAATGAAAATATGGAGCATTAAGATAATTCTACGAAGGTTATCCAAGGTCAAGGAGAAGAATAGGCATAATTACTGTGAGTGTACTACAATCACAGAGCAGCTATATAATATGATACTTATTTCGATTTGTACATATCCTCCATTTTCATTATTTTTAGCAAACGGTCTTAAACAGTAAACACGTTAAATAATTTATCAACGAATTAAAAACGTTCTCTTAAATTTACCGTACTTGTAAACCTTGACCATCTCCTTCATATCTGACCCTTCTTTAGCACGGAAGAAGAGTCCAGTAGAAGAAATCGTCAGTAAAACTTTTTATTAAGTTTTTGTTTTTATCACTGACTGAAGGATTGATAGCACATCTGAAAAACGCGATAAATAATTTCAGAAAATGAAATAAAAATATTAATCTGAAATTTTGGGAGACACCTTTTACAGCTCTTTAACATGTTGAGTTTTTCTCGAAATAATCACAAACTATGAAACTACTGTTACGACAGCGAAAGTCACGTGACGCTAGTAACACGTCACGAGATTCT